TCACATGTAATATAAGAGTAATTTTCCCATATATATATATATATATATATATATATATATATATATATATTGGTACTGTACGTACAATTTCCATGAGCAGCTATATTTTATGTCATCAAGAAATGAGTGCATCGAGAATTAATGCTGCTTTAGTGCGGAAACATAAACCTTTTTTTTTTCCCTTCTTGCGCGCATGATTGGAAACCTCAAATTAAAAAAATTGATGTTTCATTATCAAATTAATTTGGGTTAATTAAACACATATATTTCTATGAAGTTTTCTTTAACAAATGCCTTAAAACAATTTATTAAGAAATTTTAAAAAAGTACTAAATAAAGAACACTTAATATATCTACAAATATTTTTTTCGTGGCATAGATTAAATAATAAATGTGGCCACCAGAAACTATTATTTGATGCCAATTACCCGATATTTCTGAATTTCCCATTGAAGCAATATTAATTACATGCAAAAATATATTTAATGTAGATTATATGTTCCAATAGTTATGGTTTCAATGTGAAAATATAGCTACAAAGCACAAACTAAATTAAGATTTTTGTTTGGGGAAAAACTAAATTAAAACTTTTAATCAAGTTGCATTTTAACATTGCTTTCACAGAATACACCCTAGTGGTAGTGCTTTTTCTAAACTGTATACAGTTTCCTTTTTAGCTTCACTCGGTGCAGGGAATGACTAGAGCAATATATAACTCATTATTTGGAATTCCAGACGAGCCGCATAGACTTTGGCTAATTTCTTAAAAATAATAATTAGTGTCTACTATGTAGATTCTATAAATCTAACCATCAATAACTGATACTTCATGGAATCAAAATTTTGGATGCACGTGTGCTTCTTTTTTTCATCTAGGAGCATTTTTGGAGGTAAGATTTTTTCTTAGGAAAAAATGTACATCATTTTAAAAGAAATAAAGTTGTGTTATTTTAAATGAGAGAAAGAGATAGATCATGAGAGAGTGGAGGGAAAGAATTTTTTTTAAAAATATGAGTCCTATCTCTTTGTGAGAATGAAAGAATATAAAATGTATCATTTAAAATAATATACATTTTTCCCTTTTTCTCATGACCAGAATTCAAGTTTAGAAACGGTCTCTTTACAAAAATACAATAATAAAACTATGTAAAATCGACTTTTACCCATATCTTTGCTAGTTATAAAATCTTGTGCATCAAGATTAACCTTTTTATTCATAAATATTGTGTCACTATATCTAATGTCTTGGGGGCAGACATACGTGTATATAAGAGTTGGAATATTGACTAATTTCTATATTTTACTGGATTAGTATTTTGAATTCTTAAGCAATTTTGTAGATTCGTCAAAGATATCATTAATAGTTCACTGCATGTTTGCAATATGCCTGTGAGGATGTAGACTACTCATATATAAAGCGACTGAATCTTGGGGAGAAGGTCAAATTCAAGAAAAGCAAAGTGCACCATAGTCTATGTCTACATATGCTTCTCCATCTCTACTACTCATTTGATGGAAGATTTTTAAACATTGATGTGATTTTTATTTTAATTAGAAATCACAGCATGTTATGGAACATATGAGATTTGACGTATATATATTATCCTTATATTGATATGAAATTTTTTTTCCAACTTCCTTTTTTTATTTTACATATAAAAGTTTTTATTAGATAAGATTTCATACATAGTTAATAAATTTTTTATAACAGAACAAATATTGAAAGTTTAATTTTACTCGTATGTAAGAGTTTTTTACATTAATTATATTTAGGGAAAAGTGTTTGTCATTTTAAATGACATAAATTTATGTCATTTTAAGACAGAGATAAACACAAAATAATATTTATTATTTAAGATTTAAATTAAAAAAAAATCACTTACTTTCTCCTCCATGATTTTCATTCTTTGTGTCTATTTCTCTCCTAAAATGACATAACTTATGTCATTTAAAATGACAAACATCAAATTCATTTATTTAATCTTGAGTTAACTATTATAAATTAATGATTTAATTATGTTTATCACAATTAATGTACATGTTCACTTTAACCAAATAGATAAAGTTTTATATATTGATTGATTCAAAAAAATATTCAACAAAAAATAAATACCATTAATTTTTAAAATTAATTGGTAGGATTTTTCTCTGCGTGACTGTAAAGGGAAAATAGTGCCCTACATGAAATATCTGCATATTAATCATTAATGGTGGATTATACACACATTCGTTTATCTATGTTAAGAAATTTTACAGTTAAATATTTATTAAAAAAACAGGAATGAAGGTGGTGATAATTGAACTCATATTCATACTCATTTAATCACTGATACCAACTTAAATTAATTAATAAATAATTGTTATATTAAAGTTCTCTTAGATATAAGATAAAAATCTGAATTCCCTTGTCCAAAAGGAAATAACAATGTATAAAATTTCCAAATATGCACTTCAATTAATAATGAGCCCTAGATAAACAACATCAATGGAGAAGCATCTTGACCTCATGCTCTGGAATATGTTCAGGACATATAGTTGTGGGGTGAACCATTGAGACAAATACAATAATGCACTGACAAATGCACAATGAAGGGGTGACATCTTATGGTTCATCTGACTCATAGCATAAACCCATGCTATTGGCAACCGAGTCATTACCCCCAATGAAGAACCTTCTATGTCTCTATAATGCTACCTACCTGCTTCTAGGTAGGGACTATATATGCCATTCAATTCAAACATGTCATGCCAAGTAAGTATTGCTGATCAGTCATGCAGCCACTGACCACTATCTATCTCTGTATCATATTAACTTCGAAAAGACAGGTATTTAAGCCCATTACATGTTCATCTTGCGGGTCAAAAGGAAGGAAGAAAATACAGATGGTGATTATGATTACTCTATATACTTGATTCTTAATCTCAACTAAATCATATTTAAAGCTACTACTACACCCGTAAAAGCTTTTTAGTATTTCTATTGTCATAGGAAATGCAATTATTTTAGGGTTTAAAGTTTTTAAAAGTTGTTTTAGATAATCACTACAAGAAAAAAATTTATTAGTGACAAAATTTTATGAAATTTTGCCACAAATTCTTACGTCGCAAGTAAATTTCGTCACAAATTCCTGTGTCGCAATTTTATTTGTGACGAAATTTAATTATTTGTGTCGAAAATTATCATTTGTGACAAAATTTATAACGAAATTTTCTCGTCACAAATAAACTTTTTTCTTGTAGTGAATTTTATTTAATGTTTATCAAAATACATACATAAAAATGTGTACTGTCTATATTTTTTTTCTCTCTTCTCTTCATATAAATTCATATGGACTCCATATACTTTTTTATGTATATTTTAGTGAATATTAGATAAAGTTATTTAAAGTAGTTTTAAAAACTTTAAATTCATTATTTTATGGGCTTTATTATTCTCAGATTACATAAGAAAAAAATACTCTCGTACACACACATATTAAAGGAGAGAGAAGAGATAATAGAGGGAAAAGAAAAATATAATAGGTCTCACCTCTAATTTATGTGTGCACGAGAGAATTTTACTCTCGTATAACATGAGAGTCTATTTCCCCTTATTTTATATCATCTTATATGATAGTTTTAAAATTGAATTTATTTTTAATCAAAATAAAGACGAAAGTAATCATGAAATAAATTAAAATTATACAAATATATTATTAATTTCTCACAACATGATATTTTTTTAGATATCATTTATTGGTTCATCGATTATTCGACTAGTACAATTTGATTCAAATAAAATCATATAGACGGAAAAACTCTCCCTACAGGATATATTTCAACGTCATTGAAAAAAATTAAACATTTTCTTTATATTAACTCTTTAATAATTGTGTAAGTTTATTTGCTTGATCTTTAATTAATTAAAGATTAGACTCCTAGACGAAATTATCTACTACAATATTTAACTATTCAAGTGTTTCACTAGTAGAGTATTTTTTTAATTAAGCACTATTTACATTTCAATTAACACTCCACTTATACAAGTATTTTTAAAAGATAGGTGTATTTATAACATAGCACAAACAGTTTTAAATATGTTAATAATTATTCCCTTTATTTTAAAATAACCTTTGTTTAGTGTTTTACATGTATAAAAATTAAGAAAATTATTAAATACTAAAGAATATAAATCATTTGACTATATTATCATCTCAATCTAGCTAGTAATGCTTTCTTCTTTTACTTAGTGGAGATATTAAATAGGAAAAAATATTTGTCCTTTTAAATGACATAACTTATGTCATTTCATTCTCCCAAAGAGGTGAAATCCACATCTTTATATTTTTTTATCCACTATCTCTCCTCATTTATCTATCTTTTTCTCTCACTTAGGCTGCGCATGACAACCATTCTGATTCCTGGTACTGTTTCTGAAAAGAAATGATTCTTTTCTATTCTGTGCCTTGGAACAATTCTGAGAATCAGAATTACGTTTGTTAACATATTTTATTTTTATTCCGAGAATTAGAATTACGTTTGATAACACATTTTATTTTTATTCCGAGAATCAGAATTACGTTGATAACATAATAAAAATCTGTTTCTTTACTTTTGTTTATAGATTTCATCAGCTGTATAAAATAGCAAATGACAATAGATTGTAACCGAAATGCCAAATTTTATATTTAAAAAAATAATCTTAAAATTTATAATATTTTATTATATAGTTTTTTTTACGACAAATGCTAATATATAGTTTTAACTATTATTTTTCAATCATCTTCACAATTCATATTTTTTTTGTTTCTCATTCCCTTGACCATTTTATTTTTTAATATCATATTATTACCTTAATATTAATGATACAAATGAATAAATAAATACATATACATAAGTCACATCACTCAACTAAATTTTCATGACATCATACTTAAAGCAAAAAATAATTGATGTTGCATTGAACAAAAAAAATGACAAGTCTCCAATGTATTTCGAATATGTATCTTGATTCATCAAAATCATATTAGGGGCAATTGATTATCTTTAGCTAATTGGTTTGCAATATTTTTCTTAATAATGTCTATTTGGGTCACTTGATTTGAGGAGCCTTCATCATCTATAGTTGCAGATGTATGGGTTGATGCTGCAATGTTGGGATTTGCATAATATGCTAGATTTTTGTCTGCTATCTGATGATCCCTGATAAAGTTATGTACTGCACAACATGCAATCACAATGAGAGCTTGCTTCCGAAATGAAAATGAACGCATTTTACACAAAATTGGGAACCTATTCTTCAAAGCTCCAAATGACCGTTCGATTACATTTCTCAAAGAAGAGTGTCTATGGTTGAACAACTCCTTAGTAGATCTGGGTTGATTTCGTCTTCCTCTATAGTCATTCAAATGGTAGCGCTCTCCTTTAAATGGTGTCAAATAACCATCCCTTGTTGGGTATCCAGAATCAACGAAATAAAATTTGCCTACATGTTGACAAGAATTTACCAATATATAAATTGCAATAATGAGGATAATCAAATGTGAAACTAAAGAAAAATGTCATTCACATTGCTGTATAAACTCATCATACCTGGTGGGGGATGAGGGAATTCCAACCTTGGAGTTTCAAGCGCAGTACTAAAAATACGACAATCATTTGCTGATCCTTCCCATCCAGCATACACAAAAGTGAACTTTATATCAAAGGAACATGCACACATGACATTTTGGGTTGTAATTTGTTTCCTGCCTCTAAATGGTATTTGCTTATTCTCAGGTAACGTAGCACTTACTTGAGTGCCATCAATTGCGCCAATACAATCCTAATATTTAAAATCAAATATTAAAATGGAAAATAAATAAAATTCTGAAAATAAAAAATACTTGAATCCTTAAAAAAAAAACTTACCTTGAAGTATGGAAAATGTTTAGGATTGTCCTTAATTTCCTTTGGAACCATATCAAAAAGTGGTGGTTTGATCATCTCACGTGCTAATTGAAGCATCGCATTCAACACTTTGCTGAAATACTTGCTAATTGTTTGCCCTGAACGCTGAAATCTCTCTTAAACATTCTTATTTGAACTCCCGTGTCCAATCAAGTACAAAAAAATTCCTAACTGTTCATCAACCCTAATATATCTACTGTCTGCTAACTAGCCTTTTTGTGTCATCAACATACAAAGTTTGTTGAACACAAATCTTTCCATTCTAAATGCCTCATATATTCTATCTGAGTGGCCAGATCTAAGTTCCGTAACCCATTCAGCACCTGTCAGGCTACTATCTCTAATGGGTTCTTTGGTATGTATTGAATTATTAATAATAATATTCAACAAGTTTGATATAACAAGATCTTCATCTATTGATTCGTCGTCAGTATGAGGTTCAAAATATTGCCCACAAGTCAGACAAATAAGAGCATCAGCCATGACAATACTGCATCAATAGATATTGTCATCATTAATTTCATGCTAACATATTTCAAAAAAAAAATCACATTAACAAAAAAAAAATCACACATCATAGTCATACGAGAAATGAAAATTTAAAAAGTATCCTCATCATAGTCATACAAAAAATTAAAAATAAAAAAATATCCACAACATAGTCATATGAAAAAAGAATTAAAATATGGTCCTCAACACCATTAAAAAGTTGCAGCACAATTTCATTCATTTAAAAATTTATAGGAGTGAAGCTCTCCTCTCAGGTGGAGCCTTTATAAATGCTACTCTCCATGCTTTGCTTTCAACCACTCGATCAACTGCTTTGCGGTACACTTCATCCTCCAATCCTACCATGTCATTCAATACATCCATTGCAGCCTCAACTAAGTATGGATCCTCATTCACTTTTGCAGTAGCAGAATTAGCATAATTATGCTGGCATTGGTTTTGTCTAATCTTAACCAGATTCTGAATGGCTTGACATGCCATTGCAATATCTGTATTCTTACTACCTCTTTTACGCTTTGCATTTGGGGTCCTATCTTGTCTATGTTGTGCAGGACTGGGTGTCTCAATAGGATCAGATGCAAATAAATCTTCATTAAGCATATGCTCATCTTCTTTATATTCTTGTCTATGTAGTACAGGGCTAGGCATCTCAACAAGACTGTCAATATTATCACCATCTCCATCTGAAATTTGGTGTACCTCAGCATTTCTTATGGCATTATCTCCACTTGCATAAACATCCCCAAATATCTCAACTAACTCTTCCCAATAAAGAAGGCCATTCTTCCAAAATTTGTCCCATTGGGGATTTTACTGTACAAAAGATTTACCTAATTATGTTTTAAAAAATCAACAAATTTATAAGAAATCATAGGGAACACTATGTTAAAAGTTGCCTTAATGTGGACATCCCATAAAGATGCATCCTCGGTTGTAGCAGTTTTCAAAACAGTGTTCCAACCAAAACCAGATATGCTTAGTAATTTCTTGAAACTTGAATATTCTTGTCTAAGTTTATTCATCTTATTTTTCAGTGTGTAATCAAGCGCTGTTTGTTTTGTAAATTCATCTTTAATGCTTTTCCATGCTTTCTAACTGAAGGTAGAGGTTGTTCTATTTCCTTTTTTTACTTCCTCTACCAGCAAATTAATAAAAAGATGTGTGTTTTTATCAGTCCATTTTTCTACGAACCCTTCGGATGCCATACTCCTTCCTGATAACATGTCAGAAAATAAACCATAACACCAAAAATTAGAAATGCACATACTCAGCCTGGTGAATAATGTAACCAGTCAGAAAGGCAAAGATTGTTGACACTATTAGTTATCATTTAAGTGTTGTGAGTTGTGACAGTACTCTTTTATACTTGCTAACTAATCATATAGAATGAGCATTGTGGTGATGGCTATTCGGCTGTTTATGTTAAGAACCTGAATATTTGTACACAAACAATCCACTAGTAAGAACCTAGAAAGACCAGTGGACACGGCAGGTCACTCTAACACCATATAAGCACAAGTAACTTGTCATGAGTAATGACAGAGCTCATCTCAGTCTCAGATCAGAGGTTAAGGAATAAGTACATGCTAAGTACCATAAAGACCTCTGGCTGTTACCAAAATTATATAATACTCTACCAAGTGAGTGATTTCCAAGCATGCATTAAATTAAGAACCAACCATCCCAATTCCTATCAGAACAATTTGAGAATAAATGAGACATGCACCAAAACTCGAAGGGTCATGAGCATATTGTGAGGAATTTCTTTAAAGAAGGATATTTTCACTAAGTTGATAATTGCAGTCTTCTAGCACCAATGAATATAAACAATTATTAGTCTACCGTAAGAAGAAGCTAGCTCTAGAGCAATCAGCCAGGTTATTATTTAGACATGGTAAAATAATCCAATATTTCTAGATAAACAGGCTATAATGGGGAACAAAACAAAGAAAATAGATTGTTTCAAAAATAGATATGAATATTATATAACTTCCAACGTAATACGCATTCAGAACTAAGAAGGCAAACTTTTATAGGAACATTCAAAATTTAAAGTAATAAAATGGTCACTATATAATATATATAGCAAGCTCCAGAAGACCACAACTGTAGGATCAACTAAATTTGGACTTGAAAAATTAAGCAAGCATGAGACTTATTCCGCCCACTCATTTTCTTTCTTTATCCAAGATTTATGTGACACACTACCTGTTTAATGTTAACATGTTACTATCAACCCAAAATAAAACACATTGAAAACAAACCCGTTCCTATCTAATTCCCTTGTCGTTTTAACCGTTAGACATTGTTATGTGCTGCAGTGCACGATTGTAGTCCCCACAGCAACCACCCCTCTTCCCGGGTGAAATCATCAACATTGAAGGTTAATTACAATTTAGCACCCTATGCTTTTTATGGTTTTTTTGTCTCTCCAGAATTATGGTTTTTTTGTCTCTCCAAAATTGAGTTTGCTTGAGGAGTTGTTAGAATCTGAAAACATTGGGATAGGAGATATAAGGGAAACAGGTCCACCTCCAATGCCAACTATAGCCGACGTTTTTCCCATAAAAGACGTGGTATTGCTATGCCCGCATCCAATAAAAAAAATGATCAAATAAATAGGAACAAAAACCATAAATCTGTAGGTGCGCACGCAATTCAAAGATAAACATGAATATGAAGATGAAGACAATGAAGTGGAAGAATAACACAAACCATAAATCTGTAGGTACGCACGCAATTTTTTTTCATAATATTAAATTATTTTTATTTGAACGGACTGCAATTTTCATATCCAATCAACGGAGACGATTGTCTCGGCAAAAGAATGAGATAAACAGATTTGTGCAGCGATACCTAAAACTGAAACTGAGAGGAGAGCGCACAGATACCTAAAACTGAAACTGAGAGAGAGAGAGGGGATAAAAGAATGAAGTACCTGGATGGTGGCCGAGACAATCATTGTCGTTGATTTTGGAAGAGAAGAACAAGCGACATAGATTGAAGGGAAGGAGACGATGTCGTGAACGCAAGAGATTGAAGGGAGGGGTTTGTTGTCGTCTGATATGGTCGAAGTCGTGAGAGTCCAAGAGAAAACTGATTCTCTTTTTTGGCCCAAAATGAGAAAAGCAGAAATTTTTTGATTCTTTTTTTGTTTATGGGCACAAAAAATAAACCGGTTCATCCGAGGAACAAAAAAATAAACTGATTTTACCAAACAAGTTTCTTATCCATTTTTATTCCTGAGAACAGAAATTAAAAAAAAAACTCATTACGGGAAGGTTGTCATACACACCCTTAAAATGACACAACTTTACATCCTTTAAAATGATACACATTTTTTTCTATTAAAAAATAAAAGCAAAGTAAAATAAAAGAAATTCATGTTTTTTAAATTTTTCCAAGTGACAAAAAACTAAAACAAAATAAAATTTAAAGTAACAATTTTTTTTTAAAAAAAAAAATTTGAATATAAATAATAAGGGAAATAATTTTCTTATGTTGTAGAAAAATAATTATCTTATGTTGTAGAAATAAGATTGTAAGTATGACCCATAGATAAGGAGAGAGAAAAAAAAAGTGGAACTACCCATTTTTGTGTATAGAAAATTTAGTTGTCTCGTACAACATGAGATCAATATAACCCAAATAATAAACAATATTTACCTCCACTAATTAACTTCCATTAATTGTACACGAGTCATAATTAATGTATGAGATTTGCATTTGTCATTTAACATGACACAACAAACTTTCATACACACAACATTTTGTGGGGCCCACACTTTTTGAAGAAAAAAAAAACTACGGCACGCAAAACAAATTTATATAACATTATACAATCACTTTTCCTGCAACTAATTTTTAAAAGAAAAGACCCTCAACTTAGATTTTAACTTTTAAAGTCTTACTAATTTATTGGCATTAATTTTCAAAAAAAAAGAGAGTTTATATAACGTTGCCTTACCTTTTTTTTTGTTGGTAGATAATATCTCACGTAATCTTCTCTGAACATCTTGTCTTTAGAATCGATGTTGTTATAATCAAGATCTTAAGTAAAATTAAGAGAATTAAAAAAATCGTAAAACGTAATATTGTAATGTAAAAAAATCGTAAAAAATCATAAAAATGTAAAAGCGTTTAAAATATTAGTAATATTATTTTGATAAAAAAAATCGTAAAAATATAAAATCATAGTGATAAATCAAAATTTTAACAAGAATGTTTATAACATGATTTCTAAGACTAATACCTCGTTGGAATAGAGAATACAGTGGACTACCGTTACCAAAGAAAAGATGAACCTCTTTTAGAAGAAGATCGTTTCTTTCTGACTCTCAAAAAATTTCTAAAATTTAATGTAACCAAAATTTGAACCCGCGCACCAAAGCAAATGCTTATACACTCAATTATTAGGAATACGGACTAAAATGTCACTGTTTACCAACTTTTTTACTTAAATATCATGTGAATAATGTTATTTTTCAATCTGCCACGGGGGCAAGTTCGCTACAGCGGATAACAAACTCGATTTGCTGGCGTGTCACATTTTTAGTAGACATCAAATTTACTATACGGGGTAATGAACTTGGTTTTAACCAAGTTCGCTATCCAAGCTAATGAACTTCATATTTTATTTATTTATTTTTACTTGGTATTTGTTAATCACTAGAAATGTGACACGTCAGCAAATCGAGTTCGCTACCCGCTGTAGCGAACTTGCCCCCATGGCAGATTGAAAAATAACAATGTTCACGTAATATTTAGATAAAAAAATTGGTGAGAATTGACATTTTAATCGGTGTTCCCAATTATTAGCTAAGCTACCTTGCGGTTAACGTTGCCTTACTTTATTGCTCGGTACGACGCGTCAGAATTGATATATATTGCCGAATTTTTCAAAAGAAAAGGTCTCTCGCTTGAAATTTTACCTTACAGTTTCATTTATGAGCATTAAATGTTATTTTCCCCATTTTAAAATATTTCTTACTGCAAAAGCTTCAATTTATTTCAAATTAGACTTTAAAGTTTTACTGTAGGGGTATTTGGTACAGGAGAAAAAATTTTTTGTCCGAGAATCTCGATTTTTAAAAATATAATTTTTACATTCAGTTTACGATAATATCTGAAAATTTAACATTTACAAAAAATTATTTTCCCGAGAATCCTAAGATAAGCCATGTTCCAAACGGCCTTTAATGTTTTACTATTTTATTCGCGTTGATTTTTTTAATAAGAAAATTATTTTATTAGCACTAAGTCACTAACTTAATTATTGTTGTGTAGGCGCGTCAGAATTAATGTATAATGTTCACTTTTTTCAAAAGAACTTAAAGTTCCTCCACTTAACTTTTCACTCTTATTTTTTTTTAAATTTATTAGTATTATATGTTATTCCTTTTATTTCAAAATAATTATCATTATATCATTTTAATTTAATTCAATTTATTTATTAATTTAGACAATTAAGAATGCATTAATTATTTTTAATTTTATCATTAATTTTTAATATCTCCCTTAAGTAGATTAGATAATAGTGAAAGGATAATTTAATCAAGGGTTTGTTTTTTCTGCAGTTAGGATAAGTTATCTGCAGTAAGCTCAATACGACATCGTTTTGGGTCAAAAATTATTGTGTTTTTTGTAATTTTAATTTATTTCAGGGTTATAATAGTCTTTATATTTATAATTTTTTAAGATTTTAATACCAAAACGACGTCGTTTTGAAAATAAATGCAGATAACTTAACTGCAGTGACTGTAGAAACATTTTTTCCTATTTTAAAATATGGAATTTTCTTACACTCCATCAATTTGAAAATAATTATTGTTTGAGATTTTAACAAAGATTTAAAAATTCATTAAATATTCTCAATTTTAAAGAAATATAAGTTCATTCGATTATATCATTCTTTGTCTTAGTTAATGTTCTCACAACTTTTTTTTTTAATTTTCTAAAGTGTCAAATAATTTGATTTAAAGAGACAATTATTTTAAAATAGAGAGTACTATGTAAAACACTTAAATTACAAACTTGTTTAAATAATACATTTCCATATTTAAATTTGATTTAAAGTTTTAGCATTACGATCTCTACAACACTTTTTTAAACATACTCTTTATTATGGAGCTGCATCTTACACTTGCTCAATAAAAAAATAAAAAAAAGACAATTACTAAAAGAAATGTTAAATTATTCAATAATAAAAATTGTGTTAAAGTCTTTTGAAAAAAAAAAATGTAATCCCATCTTTGTCACGTTAACTGTGATTTGGGCTTGATTTATAGATTTTCCTCGTTTATAGGTAATATGCAAGGGTTTATTGTGTGTCATTTAAAAAGATACAAATTATTTCTTTTTAGTGACTTACACAAATTATGATCGGTCATACTTTGTATAAATAAGAAAAATTGCTTTTTTTTTTCACTTTACACTTCAGCGATCTGACTGGGGGGAGAGAAAAAAAGCAACTTTTTAGATTTACAGAAAATATGACTAGTCATACTTTGTGTAAATCACCCAAAAGAACACAATTTGTGTCCTTTTAAATGATATTTTTTTCCCAATATGTAATCCTACCGTAAAATTTCATTGAAATTGGTGATCTTCCCTCACCTAGCAAGAATCGTATCCTACCTTGATTTAAATTTTTTTTCCTACTGAAAAAATGTGTTACAGATATTATTAGACAAAGTGTGCGGTTATTCATGATTAAGAGGAAAGTTAAATTTATTGAATTGTGATTATGGAAGTCAAGCCATTTTAATGATATGACAATACAAAATGATAACGTAAGAAAAAAGCCTTTATACTTATTGTATCAAAATCAAATCTTAACAACAAGAATTAAAAAAATATCATTATTTACTTAGCAAACAAATCTCTGCACTCTTGTGGTTAGATTCCTCAATTAATTAAAACCCTCAATTAAACTTCCACCTAAGAATTTAATTAATTTAAGTTTTCCAAACCATATTTTTTTTATATATATTTTCTTTTATATATATCCCAAGATTCATATCGATTACTCAATTAATCTGGTCTTAGTAATATCACATCTAGATTCAAGTTTGAGACCTCTCATTAAGGGTGTTCAATCTTTAGTTTTCCTGTTAAATCTCATTTTACTATAACTGTCCTGACTCAGTGACTCTAACAAAACTCACATGATTAAGTGATAACAAATCTGCCCCAGTTCCCATTTTATAGGAGCATCACCACCCTGTTAAACATTACCTTGTACAATTAATATACCAACTAGAATCTAGAGCAAGTAGAATTGGGGAAGAGGGTTGCTTGAGAACACCCCCTCCTAGGCTTCTATTCTAGTTTACAAAGGGTTCAAAAAGATGTCATGCAAAGGCAGAAAATAGAAACAATGAGTGAAAAGGAAAGGTGTGACAAAAAGGCAATGTGTGTATAACTAAAAGAATATAGATGAAGAAAGGAGCAAGAAGAAAAGAGTGAAAGATAAGGAGAAGAAACTATGGATTATGAATGTTGTCCCCCAATATTCCAATGCTGTCCATTTCAAATCAAACCCCTATCTTGTAACGGGCCCCCCCTTCTTGCACTATGTTAATGTATTTTGCAAAAGCATAAATATGTAGCTTAAGCATCATTGTCGTTGTATTTCACATTTAATTGATCAAGTTCTACTTGGGAATTAAGCTTATACTCACTTAAAGAGTTTAAATTTACAAGAATATTTAGGTTCGATTCACTTCAAAAAAATAATTAGGATCAACATATCAAATATATATATAAGCATTTATTATTTTATTTTTTGAAATAAAAAATTTAAGTGGAGTTAGATACCGATATCTCACTAAGGTCAGAAAGGACCCTCCAACCTCTTTGAGAATTTTCAGAAGAGATTACATATTATCCATCAACAAAATCCTCACATCAGTCAGCGGAGTTTGAATTAATGCCCTTATAGAGTATGGACCAAATCCTTAACCAATTGAGCAGGTTTGCTATAAGCATTTTTTTTTAGTTGAGGCTTGAAAAATTAACTAATGAAGTCCCTTAATTAAGTTTGCCAATTTAATATTGATAGTGCGATCCAAAAATGATGATAACAGTATTAACATCTTCAACCAAGTTTCCATTGCATGCTTTTCCTTCATTTGATGAGTGAAATGGAATCCGAGGTAAAATTTAACGAGATAATCATTTTTTAAAATTAACTACAATCATGATTTTACATTTTTACTAAGAAAGGACAATTCATTCAAAAAGAAAAAAGAAAACAAATACAAAAATAAAAATAAAAAGTTCATCCTGGGGTTTCCTCCTATTCAATTCTCTTGACACTTTTTCTATTCCTTTGAACTTTTTTTCTGATGCTCTACAAGCCTCAACCGAGCTTGTATGTATGTCACATGTGAATCTTGTATCATCATCCATCATTTCATTCATTCACAACCCCATTAAGATGTAGTACACGAGTGTTATAGGCAATGCAATCAACATCCCAAAAATAACACTGCATCCAGTTAAAGAAACTTCATTGGTTAGCATTAAAAGAGAAGAAATTGAATGAAGGAAAAGGAAGGGTGGGAAAAGAAAAAGAAAATTCTCATTGAGCAGCAAGAAGAATTATATACTCACGCTGTGCTTAGAATATCAGGATGTACATTATATTCCTTGGCAAAGACAAATGGCACAATTCCTTGGGGTAGAGCTGCCTGTGTTTTTTTTGGCAATCAGATTCCAAACAAGAAAAACAAACAAACATGTCAATGTTACTATTTCACCCAAAAGCTTAAATTGTTAGACAAAGTTCACGTTAGAAATTTTATATTTCTTTAACACGATTTCAGATAAAAAAAAAGTCCATTAGACTTAAGGATGTACAATACACATGTTCACTTTTTTTTTTGAGTTACCCAACCCTAATTATCTCTTTGAGACGAGTTGGCTCCCTCCGGTATCCCCACGAGCTTCGACTCTTTGAGCCGGCTATGGGACTAATCCGGAGTGCGGGGGAACAGTGATGGCTAAAGGTTCAGCCCCCTCCCAATAATGCATTCAGCGGGAATCGAACACATATCCAACCCCACTAACTCAGCGCCAAATTACCAACTGAGCTGCACACATTGGGTTATGTTCACTTGTCTCTATTAAAGAATTCCAAAATATTTTAATTATTTATTTATTTATTAATAAAGTGGGGTGATGAAAATCGAACTCGTACTTACTTGACCACAATAATGATTTTGTATTTCTCTAATAATGTTAACATTAAAATATTCTATTTTTAAATATATTTTTTCTTCAAACATAATTTTGAATATGTTCTTTCCTAGCCAATTAATATTATCTCCATAGAATTTCAATGCATATTGTTGTACAGTAAATCTCAACCAATTAGAATTTAAATAGAACAATGGAATAACTTTTTTATTTAGATGACAATAAAATAGCTTATCTTAGCAGACAATATATATATTATTATATATGTACAGGTATTTTTGGAGCTTATGCAATCAATATTGTATTGGTTGTGTTAGAAGGGAGCAGAAAAGAGAGAGAAAGAAAAAACCTGAACAATGGCAACATGTAAGAGAACACCTTTGAGCCCAACAGCAATGGAAGCAGCTGCCATGACAGCTGGACCTGTAAGGAATCTCACAGCCATAGCAAAAGATGCTACGGAATTTCCACATGCTATGATCCTCGGTTGCAAAGCCATGAACAGACCTGTCATTCACATCAAAAGCCAAGATTGCAAGCAAGCATGCCTACATCAGTATCACCACAACCATCAAAACACACACACACACACTGTGTCACTCAATCACCCCTTTCTGAATGACCTTTCATCATCATCACCACCACCACCAACCCCACCTTCCTCTCACAACTTTGGCAAAAAGTTATCATAAAAAGAATGAAAAGATTGATAAATGAAACCACCACCATTATCATAATATTATACTATTTGCTTTTTCCTTAGTTATCACACACTCTTTCTTGCTTCTGCTTGCTTACTTGTTTTCTCAAACAAAGCATTTAATAATAATAATAATAACAATCAAAGTTAACATGGAATCAGAATAGATTTTCTGCTCCATCATTTTCATTTTCAATAAAAGAAAATGTCAGAACAAGTTAATTTCCATGTTTTTAATATATCATTTGTCATAAAAAAAAAAAAAAAAACTTTTTATACTAACCAAGACTGAACATGGCCATGCCAAGTCCTGCATCTGACAGTATGGAAATAGATTTTGCTATTATGGCAGGCATCTCAATATTCCACCTGCAAGGAACAACAACACCAGCAACCATAATCAATCAAATTGGAAGGCCAAAGAAAACAAGAAGGAATTGTACATATGAAAAGTGCAAGACATGGAGATATTTTCCAAGAAGACAACAACATACTTGAATGAAACAAGAGACCAAGTGAGGCCAAATAGGCTAGAGTAGGTGTTGGGGTTTCTGATGAGTTTTCTCCAAACCATAATCAATATAAGCCTTGTCATTACACTTGCTGGAGGCATAGTTTTTGGCTTGCCATCTCCAACTTTTTCATCTTCATTTTGATTCATTTCCCTATCCATTCCTCTATTTCCAAAGCTGAATTCATCTTTATCTAGGTAGTCCTCTTGAGTGTTTCTATGACCCTCCACTGATTATCAAAAACCATATCCACAAGCAAAACAGCCACATAAGAAAAAAAAAAAAACCAACCAAAGAGATTAAGATTTAGAAATCCAACTTGGAAAAAAACCAACCTTTTCCTGGAGATACATTCAATTTGACTTCTTTCTGATCATGAGTTCCATATTCATGGCCACCAAACACATCAGAAACTGGTGAAGCACTTGAACTCCAAACAAACATATGAAGGTCCCTATTCCCATCCTCTTGTTTCTGCTGAGCTTGACCATTAGGCCTCTTAGCATTAACATTAGCATTAGCATTAGCAGCAACACTTTTGGACCCAGTAGTGGGAGAGAACATCTCTGGGTTTGGTGCAGGGTAATGACCTGTTCCACCAGGGCCACCATGGTAATGGAACTTTGGCTTACCACTCACAGCACCATCTTCATCATAGTTAGAAGGCCTTGGAGTTGGTCCTCTTGATGCTGAAAGACCATAAACATCAGAGGCACCAAAGTTGGAATTGCGTCCACCAGCCATCATTGAATAGAAATCAGTGTGGTTGAAACTAGAACCTCTTGGCGTTGGGTTCCTAGAAGATTGCAAAGAGTATATCTCAGCATTGGTAAGGTTTGAAGGGCGAGGAGTTGTTGAGGAAAGACCCTGTGACCTTCTTGAGAAGATATCTGATCTTGAAGCATTGGATTTCCTCACAGTTACATGAAGCTTCCCATCTTCTTTGATCTCAGCTTCAGTTTCCAATGGTTGTCTACCATCCAATGACATAACATCAGAATCCACATGGATTGAGACAATGGAACCAGCAGTGTCAGGGAACTGTTCAGAGATTAACATTCTAGCTCCCCTGAACTCAAACATGAACAACATCAAAGTGTACCATATGATACACTGAAGGACCACAATTTGCACCATTAGGCTCCCTGAGAACTCACCATACATCCCTTTAAGCAAAGGGATACCCATAACCAAAGTGTTTGGAAGTGTAGAAAGAGAGAACAAAGTTATAGTCCACTCCAAACAACCCCTTTTGGTCACGTTGCTCCATATAGCAAGAACAACCAAAACTATGATCTTTTGAAGTGTGTCAGCAGCTAAGAACCGAAGGTTCATTTTGTAAGGGTTGTTAGAGGCTATGAAGTGGAAAGAAAGTAAAGGCACAGCAAACAGTGCAACAAAACGGTTGATGCCAGAGCATTGATCAGGGGAGAAGATTTTCCACCATTTCACTGAGCCATAGGCTAATATCATAGCCACATAGAGTGGCACCATTGCTGTCATCACATGGTAGAAGTCTATTAAACTGATCATGACTCAGATAGGGGTAAAGAAAATGGTTTCTGAACTCTTGGAAACTATAGGAGAAGCCGTTCAAGATGAAAGAGAGTTAAAGAATATATAGAAGGTTGAAGTGAAGGTTATGATAGAGTTGGTGGTAGTGATGATGATGATGAAAAGATATATAGGGATATGGGAGAGCATGTGTTTTTGGGTTTTGGGGTAGTGAGTGGGGTTATATGCAGAATACAGCAAATATTTTTTTCAGCTTTGAGAGCTGCAAGAAGGCTTGCACTTGCAGTCCCCAAAGCACAAGGCAGAGAGAGAGAGTTTGGGATTTTGCTTTTTAATTTTCACAGTTTGTTTGTTGTTTTCCTTTTTGTTTTGAACTGTGTTTGGATTTGGGGTTTGGGCAAGGAATGGGGTATTTGATGACTTTGGAAACTTGGGTGGGTGGCTCTACCTTCTGAAATGGGTCCTCAATTTGTCATAAAAAAGCTTAGAAAAAAAGCATTTTGGGTTTGAGGTGAGGATGTCTCCAAGTACTTGTTTTGTAGAGTGCTTTGTAAAGAGCCTCTTTCTCTCTAGATCCACTGTTTTTTTGTTTTTTTTTTATAAAGAAAATTAAACAAATAAATATAAAGTTTATATGTTGTTGTTTAATGACTTTAATCATATAAATTGACAGAATAGGACTGTTAAATAATTAAATTTATATTTCAATAGTTGTTTCTGTTCAAATGTATATAATTTGATGTAGGATATTCATACCATCATTTTTTTCTATTATAAATCAACTACAATTCTAATTATCGTTAGATCAATTTTTTCAGCAAAAAATGTGCTAAAGAGAGAGAAAAAAGTTGCTGAAAAGTTAGATTCAATGGTTATTAGAATGATAGTGAATTGGTAGTAAAAAAAATGGTAGTATGAATATTATACCTCTAAATTTATTGAAGAATATAAAGAAAGGACCGCTGAAAAATAATATAAATGCTTAACAAAGGTGTTATATTAATTCGGAAAATCTAGAACGTGGTGTCATTTATTGTTGGAATTAATTTTGTTTATAGATAAGAAGTTTGATTTAGAAAATGTGTGTTTTTCATCACTAAATGGATGTGTTATTTCATTGTGGAATTAGTGTAATTTAAATAGTGACCATATGTTTTTTATAAATAAATTACGAATCAAATTTTTCTTTTTTTTTTTGGAAGTTTTACCTATTAGTCTTTTGCACATTCTTTTGTATTTGCACCATTCAATTTTAGTGTGATTGATTAGATATAGATTGAGTCCGATTGAGTTATTCTATGTGAAAGTATCATCACAAGAATAGAGACAATTTATTTTATTATGGGAAATAATTGTCCATGAATCTTTGGGCAAAATTATCTTAAGGACACAATGTCAAATAATGAGTTCATATTTTTCTTCTTGAATTCATGGAATTACATTTGTTGTTGAAACAATTTTTCTAACACAAATTATCCTCTCATAATTATTTTTGACATAATTTTTCTAACATTTATGGGGAATGATATTGTAACAACCAATTAGTGTTACTATCAATGTTACTATCAATCAATTTCACCGTTAGATCGATTATGTTGATCCAACGGTTATATTTATTTTCATCTTTGTATGGTTATGATTTTTCATATTTAATACTTTATATTTATTTACATCTTCGTATAGTCATGATTTCTCATATTTAATGCTTTCACATTAAATACAGGGAATCATAACCATACAAAGGTGAAAATAAATATAACCGTTAGATCAACATAAGATCTAACGATGAAATTGATTGGTAGTAACACTAATTGATTGTTACAATTTCCTACCCCAACATTTATAACTATATTATTGTCATCATTGTTATCCTAGAACAAAAGGATTAAGATGGTTAAATTTAAATTCTTGTGCAGTTTGGTATTTTTTATTTATTTTTTTCACGAGCATGGCAAAAGATAAAACCATTTTTATAGATTATATGTAAAGAATGAAATGAAGTTTTAAATTATGGAACTAATGCATTTAGACTAATGATGCTCACAAATTGAACAAGATATCTGTCAATTGACAAACTGAAAGGGAAACAAATATTAGAGTGAATTTGGAATGTTAAAAAATAAGAAACGATTTAATATTTAATTTTTTTATGAATTTCATTCCTTGTATTTTATATTTCCAATCGACTTTACTAAGATATAGTAAAAATTGATTTAGTTTTAAATTTCACTAAATAAATTAACTATTTTATTCTTGTCGAATAGTCTATTTAATAAAATGAAAAGAAATCAAATTAAATTAAATAGCCTACATGAAATGATTGTGGAACCACTTTGGAAAAAAGTTGGATGAATTAAGATGGAGACTCCATGCTCCAAGATAAGGGCATATGGAAGTTCCAAAAATTGGAGTGTAGAGAGAAGAGAGGACAAATGGAAGAGGTGAAGAGGGTAAAAACCATCACGTGGACATGAACTGTCCTTTTCCCAACCATATCTAATAGGGTTGCCACTTCCAACAGCTTCGGGTTCATTTTGTTAGGTGGGATTATAGGGCACTCCCTCGTGTTATGTTTATTCAAAGCGAAATATATTTTTATAATTTTATTTTATGCACATATAAAAAATAGGCGAGTCTTATTTTTTTCTCTCTCTTTTCTTTAGTGGATTCTATCTATTTTTTTTATGTATTGCATAAAATAAATAAATAGGTCTCATGTAACATGAGAAACATATTCTCTTTATTTAAAATAAATAAATGGCGCAGTAAAATAGAAACCAAAGTTTGTGTTCCATGTTTCAGCAGAGAATAGAAACAATCAACTTCAATTTGTTCCAGGAAAAGAATATTATGGAGAATAAAGCATGTCAAGACAAGGTATCAGTGTATCACTATCTTCTTGATTGGGAAATAAAGAAAGAAATGAAAGCCATGCAGTTAATTCTCCGAAAATTTGTAATCTTTACTTTTTTAAAGTTTCTCAGATATTTTGATTGTATTCTTAAAATTATATATATTTTTCATTGTTGAAGTACGTTTTAATACATAATTCACAAAAGATGAATTAATATTAATGTATTTATTGTTGTGCTGACTGAAGTTAAACCAATAAAGGAATAAGGACGTAAAGTGAAGTAGAAACAATTGAATTGCAGGAAAGAGATATTACTCCAACATTAATAGGATTCCAGATTGGTCACACTAGCCCCATTCACTAGGCCAGCCATTAAAACTCATATATAAGGTTACATTTAGATGGTTTCATTTCCGCACATTTCACATTTTATACATTAGGTGAGTGTGCTTGCTTCACATTTAATGAAATCCATAAGGAAAAAATGGTTATGCCTCATCATCAGGGAATCTTTTCCACTTATTTATACATCTCTTCATCGTAGAAGAAACACCTTTGAGGGAATAAATCTTAGGTGCATCTGTTGCACTTAAATTCAGTGTATTCCGCCAATGAAAACATTACACGTAAGAGCAGAGAGAGAGAGAGAGAGAGAATTTTGGCTGATATATAATGTTTCCATTGATGGAATGCACTGAATCTTTGGTATAACAGTAGCACCAAAGATTTATTACCTTTTAGGCTTTATCACATCATTTCCAAAGTTGTTACGCTATTAAATTCTCACCACAGAACCATTGTGATTTGTGCCCAACCATGGTAGTTAAAATCTCGATTTAAAACTGCGATTTTACGATTTTTTTTCAATCAAAACGATTTTATCAAAATTTCAAACGCTTTTACGATTTTTGTTACATTAAAATTTGACGATTTATGATTTTTTATCCTCCTTTCAATTTTAGATAAAATCTCAATTTTAACTGCCCAACACATTCCCTTGACTCTCAACCTTTGCCTTAGACACTACTAACGATAACTCTCTATTGAGTTTAGGTCTATACTTATGTATCATAGATCACTATTATAGATACTATGCCCCATGGTGGAAAACATATCCTATTCCATCACCTAAATAGTTCAAGTATAGTCTTATTTGTAGTTCTAATAGGAAGCTTCAAATTAGAGTTACTTTATTCTAGTCACTATTTAATACAGCTACTAACTCTTCTCTAATTCTTCATATTCCAAACAGATTCAAGTCCATGCATTGAGGAATGTTCGGGATCAAAGAATGCTCAATTTCATAGAATATTCAGATTCATAGAATACTCTGGTTTTTAGAATAAGGAATTGAACCCACTCCATATAATTCTTCACTTTGGTGAAAACTCCAAATTGTTCAAATTTGCAGAAAATTGATCAAATGCAAACAGTAGTGATTATGTTTTATCCCAGTTATCACTTTAGTTATCACACTGCTTGATTTTATATTGAATCAATTTTCTCAAAGAAAAGCATTCCTCCTATTAACATCTCTGATAAAATGGTAACACACATCAATGTGTTTTATCCAAGATTGTTGAACTTGATTCTTTGCTGAGTTAATTGCTCTTTGCATGCCTCAAACTATTTATAATTTCTCACCTTAATTGGTCTATTTGCTGCAATTGAGTCATGTTGTTGAAGTGGTGCTTGAACAATTTCTTCTAAATTTTTAGAGTTGGAATTATCTACTGTAAAAATTTTCACAATTGACCTTTCAATCTCCACCTGTTTAGAAACTTCCTCTGCATTGGTTTTCTACTGAAATTTTGCATGCTTATCTATTTTAACACATGAATATGTATTGAGATCATATCCCAATTCTTCAATTAGGCCATGTAACCATATGCCCCCCCCTAAATGCTTCAGTTACAACCATATACTCTCTACTTTCAAGTGAGACACTTGTTAAATGATAATTTCTAATTACCAAAAGTATTTGTGAAGAATTTTGGTATGTAGCAGCATATGCTGAGTTACCATCATTGTGTTTTGTGGCCATTCCACAAAGCATCATCATGGTAAAATCTTACAGTATCACCCCTAATATTTAGCCTCATGAAATGGAGCCTCAATGCTATGCCAAATTAGAATTTACACTCTGCATTAACTATCAAATTGATTCTTGGCAAACTAACAAATAATAAGAATAATGGGGTTTAGGAATCCATCTTAAAAAGATACTTTACTCTTTTTAAATATGAAGGACAAACACTAAAGCAAAAGACTACTACTAACAGTAGCTTTAGTGGTAAAAAAATTAAAATTCAACAATTGAAAGAATTATGCA